AGGAATTGATAAAGGTGCGTGTGACGAGGAATTGATAAATGACCGTGTGACGAGGAATTGATAAAGGAGCGTGAGAGGAGGAATAGATAAGGAACGTGTGAAGAGGAATTGATAAAGGAGCGTGTGAGGAGGAATAATAAAGGAGCGTGTGAGGAGGAATTGATAAAGGAGCGTGTGAAGTAAAATTGTTAAAGGATCGTTTAATGTAAAATTTCAAAATTTTTTAGAAGAGGAATATTGTAAAAAGGAGAAATAATCAAAATGAAACCTTAATATCAAGCTCTGTTATACTTTTTCGACGCTTTATCAATTCATAATTATGTTTCAAATGTTAAATATTGTTATTTCTTAAAAATTTAACAAGAATATGCAGTCAAATGCACTTATCGCCTTCATAATCTCAATTAATTCCTCCGCATTTAAATGGATCACGCTATTTATCCATCTTCACTCTACTCAAAAAAAAATTTTTATTTCTCTATGTCTTCTAAACTTTAAATAATCCAATGATAAATGATAAACATTTATATATTTAATCTTTCTCTTTTTTTAAACTTTCCAAAAATATTATTCATCCTTTAATCTTTATTAACTTTATTTCAAATTCTCTTAAATCTTAAATCTTGTCTTCTTTTTTCCCCTAAATATTAAATTTTTAATTTCTGTTAATTTCTACATAAACCATAAAGAATTCATTTTAAATTTATATACCTTAACTTCCTTCAATTAATGAAAAAAAAAAAAAAAGAGAAATTATTCCTATTTATTTTTCTTTATTCTAAATCTTTTTCTTCTTTCTTCTTTACGCTTACTTCTTTAATTACATGTCGACACTCTTCTTCTATTACCGAGTCTAATACCTTTACGCGCCATTTAGCTAATGTCTCGTCGCGAGAACTATTCCCAGTATAACCGCTCCCTGTACCCCCTGTAAGAGAGATCTGTTATAGCCCTGTCTATCCTTCTCCGGTGACTCCTCTAAAATTCGTGTCCGACCCGGGAGACATCCTCTGGACCGGAGAGAGTAATCTCCTGTGTGACTCCCTAGACCATAGAGTAACTTCCCAAGTCCTTAAGCAGGAGAAAGACACCGAGGGTCATTCCCTCGTGGCAAGTTAAGAAGTTGTTCGTCGCTCGTGAAAAGACTCGAGTTTCGAGACGAGTCTCGAACTCCAGTTCTTCGGCGTGCGAGAAAAGCAGCGTTCCAAGCGACCCCTCTAACGAAAACTTTTAATTTTTGGCTACTTAAGGTACTTGAGAATATTTTTGCAAGTTTTTTTTAATTTTGATTTTCCTTCGTCCTTCCGGATCGTTTTCGTCGTTCCATCACCGGAAAAAAAAACATTTTTATTTAAAAAAAAAAATTATTTAAAAAAAATTAAACTATTTGAAAAACGAAAAATTTTAAAATTAAAAAAATTTATAAATATAACATAACAAAAAAAAACGATTGATAAATTAATAAAATGAAGTAAAAATTAATAATTTTATGAATATTATAGCGAACGTAATTTGCGGCGCGACATCGCGTCGATTGTTATTGTATACGTATCGATTAAACATAATCGGTTTCCGTATACGAAACGAACGAAATATTCTTCCAATTGTTATTGTATACGTATCGACTAAAGACAGTCGATTTCCGAACGCGGAACGGAACGGACGTATTCCCTTCTTCTCTCCGAATAAAGATTTTATCGATATACGATATATTAAATAAAATATTAAAATGTAAATGATTGTTAAATAAGTATCGAAATATAAGAATATAATTATAAATACGTAAAAAATTGATAAAAGTAAGGACTTTTTTAAATATTCATTGAATACGAGGATATAATAAAATAGAGAACGAAACATAAAAAAAAAAATAATCCTTTACTCGATAAATATTTAGAGATTTAAAAAAAAAAGAAAAAAAGAATATAATAATCAAAATCGATAAATAAAACAAAAATTTTGAATCATCCGATTCGTTTCTTTTATTTCATTTTCAATTTAAATATTTTTTTTGTTTTTCTCTTATCTATTTCAAATATTAAGATATCAAAAATTAAAATTAAAATACTCTTTAATCGATTATTAATTATAAATCGAATTTGAAAAATAAAGATGAGAAAAAAACGAATAAAACTTTAATATAAAAAATAATCGTATAATTGTATAACTACTATTATTATATAATTACATATATAAATAAATATAAGTATACTTTCGAGAAAAAAAAAATACGATAGATAAATAAATAAATCCAAAATTCAAATTTCCTTTTAGTCTCGAGCTTTTAGCTTTTAGCCTTTGATAAAATATTTATGTTGATTCAAGATTTAGTTCGAGATAATGTATTATTAACTATTTTTGATTAAACATCACGGATTACGCGATAATATTACGGTAAAAACCTATTTAATCTGCTTTACTTACTCGCTTATTCGTTGACATGCTTTATTTATATTGTCTATGATGATTTATTCTTACGTCCATTATCCGCTCCGCGTCCAATATTCGGTTAACGCTTAATAAAATATTCTGACATTTAACGATGTTTATAAAAAAAAAAATTAATTTAATATTCTCTTTGTTCGCATTTCAGAGATTTAATATATTAAAATTAAGAATTATTTTTTGTTTATAATAGATTCTATACTTTGTTTTTATTTAAAAACAATTGCAATTTATTATTTTTCTCTGATATATATTATTGTTTTTCATATATTCGATCGGTTCGATTTATGATATAAAAATATTTATACAACTATACAAAATTCGTAATTTTAGTTTCATTCCCTTAAATTGAAATTGCATTTTTCTTCGATTTATAATGGTTAGATCGTAGATCATTTATTTTTTTGCTATCTATATAAATTATTATAAAAGTATATCGAATATGAAAGTACAAAAATGTGATGTTAAAGAAAAATGAAAAACTCGTCTAAAATAGAAATAAAACGTGCAGTCTACTATCGACGAAAGATAATTTTTACTATGTTAAACTATTTAAAATGTATCATGGAAAAAAGAAAATATTAAACGCGTTAAACTTTATAAAAAAAAAAAAAAACTGCTTATTAAAGAAATTAATAAATTTATTAAATGTCCAAATATTTTTTATTAATTCGAATTATTTCATGTAAAATGACGTGTCTTTCGTAACATTGGTTATTAATTTTTGTAAAATTTTATTATATTTGATAAAAATGATTACGCGTGTTAAAAAGAATGATCGATTACATTTGTTCGTTATCTATTTCTTTCGTATTTGAAAAATTAATGATATAATCAAATTGTTTCTCTTTAAATGGCGAATAATGGCGAATGCGTCGAATAATATTTTCGAAGTAACTAAATCGGTTAAATAATAGATTTTTCAAATTCTTATTATCTATTGTTATAACTTCGTTATAATTTCGATCGTTCAAAGTTTTTATATTTTGTTTTCGCATTTCGCAAATATTCCAAGTAATATTCGTAACAGGTTATCCGTTGTACATTTTAAATGTTAACCGCCGTGATTTATATTAACGGAGGATAAGTGGCGGCGATATCGTTTATGCGCACAGATGCGTATACGTATAGGCAAAATTCGATAGTATATAATAAAGTTATAAGGCCAAGAGACGGTATATATATTATATGTATAGTATATATATTATATTTAGGATATTATATATTATATATATAATATAAAATTATTCAAAATCTTGTCTTCCACGAAATATTCAAAAGTTATCGAAATCGGTGAGGAAGCCCTTTTTCTAACTACTGAAAATATATTACGTTATATACTTATTACGTTAAAATACGATGCTCTATATAAACGCGATAACTGAGATTCCTAGAATGATTTGTTATTTTTTCCAAATTAATTTCATTGAAAACACGAATAAACGAATTTTATATTTTTATATCGAGTCGTTTCGTATTTATCTTCTTGTTAAAATCATTTTTTGTTACTGTTTGTACTGTGAACCAAGTATTATTCGGTATAGGTATATTACTTTACCATAATGATATCGAAAATAATGACGGAAATAACGATTATCGGGAATTTTACGTATGGAATAATAAAAACGTAATTATACGATATTAAAAATAGTTAGCGAAATATTTCTCTTTTTATAAGCTTTTATATTATTATTAAATTTATATATATATATATATATATATATACACGTACAATGTATGTAACGTAATTATTTTAATATCGATATTCATACATGTGCACATACACACGCGCACGCACACACACGCACACACACACACGCACACACACGCACACACGTATATACGCGCGCGATACAAACATTATAACTTACTATACCGTACTTTCTGTTTATCTTGGTGACCGTGATATTCATTAATAATAAGTTTACAAAGAAACAAATGAAACACGATTATGAGAAAACAATACTGATCCAAAAAAATGTTGGCAATCCTCCTAATTGATGTCCATGTTTGTGTAAGGCCATTACAACGTGATCATGCGCGGGAGCTACGAAAAAAAATCATATATCGATATGTTTTATTATCGTCTAATTTATGAGTTTTGATTTGTATATTATAAATAATATTTTTGTCGCAATATGATATATTAAATATATCAGATATTTCTTATTACGAATCGTACGATTGAATATATCTAATTGAAAATAGAAAAAAAGTTGAATAACGGAATGTTTATTTTTTTTTTTATATATATATATATATAAATATATATCTATTTTCCTATTAACGTGTTAAAAGAACGAATCGATTAATAATTGTATTATATGTCGATGTCTTTATTTCGAAATGCTACGTATACGGTTAAATGAAAACGATTTCGTTTCATTAAAGAAACGAAAGAAAAATGTATAACATTTCTTTGCGAATTTATACGAGATAAGATATAAAAGAACGTGTAATTTGAAAAATAATTAAAAGAAATGATAAAAGAATGGTTTATATATACCAACCGTCGTCTATAGCATGAACGTGTAAAGCATTTCGCAAATCTTGCATATGTTGATAATCGGATGTTATATATAATATGGCTGTTAATGGTTTTGTCAATTTTACTGGAATACTTGCGTATGATTGACTTAAAGAAACAGGTGGATTCAAACAGCCAGCATCGCAACCGAAATAGACACTATCGCTCTTGTCTAAAGCCACTTTTAAAATTGCACGATTATCTTCTCCAACTGTTACCGATATATTTAAATGTGTTACATTACCGTAACTTATTCTCCTAAAACAAAGGTAAAGAAAAAAAGCGAGTTGATAAATTAATATTGAAAAAAAAAAATTAAAAATAAAAAAATACATTTTGTTTAAAATCGAAATTACGATATTAAATCTTTTTCCATTTTTCTATTAATTTTTTTATATTTAGAAAACCTTAAAAGACAAAATTCGTTTAAATATAATAAATTATAAAATTGTAAAGATAGATTGCGCTATAAATTATAAAGAAAAATATCGAGAAATATCATTTGATAATAATAAAATATATGAAGGAAAATATTTTTATAACGTTTTTTATAATAAATATCGCTGTAAAAATTTTAAAAAATTTTTTATGAATAATGAGAAAAACTAATGTCTAAGTTTAAAAATTTTTTCCGACGAAACTATTCGCAAAAAAGAGATTTTTATTTCGAATTCTCAAATTTGATAAAAAGTTACGAGATATACGCGTATATAATATTTTCCGCCTCTTTAGAAATTTCCCTCGTACAAAGAGCGAATATTCAAAAGTTTTATTTGCGTTTGAAATTTGTTACGTTTCGTATCGTATGTATCCTATCGAAATTTCGATCGTAATCTTTACGGCATTGTGGTAACATCTATGGTTCCCGTATGGAAATCGAATTTTACTTGTCTAGCTATGAATTT